CATTGTAATGAAACAAAGTATATGATTTATTGAATGTAAAACTGATGATCTGCCCTGTAATCTTTCAATGAATTCACAATAAAAATTAAAACAACAACAAAAGTGAAAAGATAACTCAAAAGATGGGAGATTATATTAGCAAATTTTATTTCTGTTAAGGGACTACTTGTATCCAGGATATATTTAAACTGGTTATAATTTGATTAATTCAATTAAAACTTTAGACTAAATTTTTGAATAGACACCTCATCAAAGAATATATACAAATGGTCATTGTTGTTGTTGTAGTTGTTAATTGGTCATTGTTGCTGTAATTGTTAACTGTCGCAGAGTCAGTTCCAACTCGTAACAGCTGTGTATAAGGTTTCTGAGGCTTTAAATCTTTGAGGAAACAGAAAGCCTCGTATCTCTCTCATGGAGCAGCTGGTGGGCTTGAACTGCCGACCTTGTGGTGCACAGTTCAGTGCTTATCATATGGAGCCACTGAGCTCCTTACAAACAGCCATTAAGCACATGAAAAGAGTTTCCATAACACTGGCAATTAGAGAAATGCAATTAAAAGCTACAATAAGATGCCACTTGAAATCCACAAAGACCGCTACAATTAAGAAAAGCGGTGGCAAGAATGTGTAGAAATCAGAATACTTACACATTGCTGGTTGCTGTTGTTAAGTGCTGTTGAGTCATTTCTGACTCAGGAGTGATGCTGTATAGGGTTTCTGAGGAACACATGGTGGGTTTGCCTCTCTAACCTTGCAGTTAGCAGCCCAGTGCTTATTCTACAGCGCCACACCAAGACTACATTGCTGGTAGGAATGTCAAAACAGTACAGGGTCACTAGAGAAAACAGGTTCACAGTTTCTCAAAAGATAAACAGGTATTTATCATACGAACCAGCAATTTCACTCGTAAGTCTACACCCAAGACAATTAAAAATGTATGTCTATCCAGAAATTGACAACAACAACAACAACAATCCAGAAACTAAGGAACTCTGCTAGTGTACTGGTTACGAGTTGGCCTGCTAACCTTAAGGTCAGCAATTCAAAACTACCAGCCATTCTGTAGAAGAAAGATAAGGCTTTCTGCTCCTATAAAGGTTTGTTGTTGTTGTCAGGTGCCATGGAGTCGGAACTGACTCATAGCGACCCCATGCACAGCAGAACGAAA